GTCAGCCGCCTCCTGGATTATGCCGGGCAGCTCCAGAGGAGGACACCGACGGCTGAGAGTGGTGTGGTCGCCGATGCAAAAAAAGTCCGGGGAGGGGTAAGCATCCGCTCAGCCCCCCTCATTCCGACACTACGCTCTCCAGGAGGGAGTGAGCAGCGGGGGCTGCTGCTGACGTCGCCTGTCCCAGAGGAACCATACGATTCGCTCTGAGAGTCGCGTTAAAAGGAAAATGGGTTGATGGCGTCGTCCAGCGGGTAGCAACTTGCCACTGCGAAATATTCCTCGACGCTTACCTTGAAACAAGGCTGCTAGTCTGCTTCTCCTTGGGGAGGAGAACTCACCAGGATGGCAGGAGGTTGGCGTGGTGGGACCCCAGGCAGCCTTAACAAAGGTTGTGCCGGTCAAGCTGGACAACTTCCCTTCTTCGTTCTTCTGACAGTGCTATTAGCTTGCTGAAGAAAAATGGGAGCCGATTACCCGCTCTTAACGTAATTTATACGAACTGAGTGGGGCCCACACAACAGGTGGGCGTGGACTAATTTTTTCAGTGTGATGCTTTGCATGACGGGATGAACCCACCAGCGATAGCCTTAAAGGGCGAAGCCTATACGAAATAGAACAACAGCAAACAACAGATAAAATTACTTAAATACAAATATACACACACACACGCACACACACACACACATATATATATATACATATATATATATATATATATATATATATATATATATATATATATATACATATATATTAAATTGGGAAAAAACAGACAAAACTAAATGAAATAAAATAAAATTAAGGAAATACTTAATGATGTAAATGAACAACAACTTGAAATCACGTAAAATGGTTTAAAAAAGAAATTCAAAGTTGAATAATTAGTTCTTAAAACTATGCAAATGTATGCAAAAATTTGCAAATCTGAACTTAAAATATTAAATAGAACCATATAGAAATCATTACAAAAAAAAAAAAAAAAAATTCAATTACACTTATGGGGCCCCCTAGTGGCCCCGGGGCCCTAAGCAGCTGCTTAGTTTGCTTATGCCTTGGGCCGGCCCTGTATCTGACTGTTTTGTTTCGCTTAATGTGCCTTATAATCCGATGCACTTTATAGTCCGAAAAATACGGTAATAAAAAATTATCTGGTTCAGCAGGTTTTAATATATTCCAATTTGACTTCAAGCGTAAAAGTCAGACTAATTTAATTTTTTTTGACGGGCTAATGAGCTTCATGCTGCCAAAACATTTCATCACTGCGCTGACATAGCTGCCCAACACACGTCTCTATTGGGGGGTAGGTCCTTGTGACTCTGTGAGACTACCTGTATAAATAAAGCTTAATATATCTATGTACATGTGTATATATATATATATACACAAAGTATATGCAGCACAGTGGCGCAACTGCTATAGCTGCTGTCTCTCAGTGAGCAGGCCCCTGGTTCTTATCCCGGTCCAGGGGCCTTTCTGGATGGAGTTTGAATGTTCTCTCTGTGCATGTGTGGGTTTTCTCTGGGTACTCCGTTTTCCTCCATCCATTATATTTTACCTGCTTCTTCCATTTTGGGTCAAAGGGGGTCGCCGGTGCCCATGTCCGGCAATCACTGTGTGAGGGGCGAGGTACACCCTGGACAGGTTGCCAGTCCATCACAGGGACACATAGAGACAAACAAGACAACCAACCATTCACTTTCTCACTCACTTAGGGACAATTTAGAGTTACCAATCAACCTAACATGCATATTTTTGGTCTGTGGGAGGAAACCAGAGTACCCGGAGAAAACCCACGCATGCACGGAGAGAACATGCAAACTCACCTACAGGTCACAGTGGACCAATGAAACGAGGAGGGGGTTCCTCCTCTCCCCATTCTCTTTTCCCCTCCATGTTCTGCACAACAAAGTATTTGCAACCACTCAAAATGTGAATTGTGCATTTAATAGTGTAATGATAGTGATCAGTGACTTCCTGGTAGGCTATAGTTTTTTTTCTTCTTCTACCAGCCATGTTACAGGCACTGTTCAGAAAAAATATTTATTGTACGTATTTGAGTATATTACCAGTATGTGTTTAATTAAAAGTTTAAAAAACTTTCTGTGTAAATATCTCATTTTACAACATGAACACCGGCAGTTTTTAGACATGTGCGGCCTATATATGTACAAAATTATCATTATTTTATTAAATTTAGTGGGTGCAGCTTATATTCGGGTGTGCTCAATAGTCTGGAAATTGCGGTAATTTGTGTCCAGACAACACTTTTTCTTTTTGTCTTGCTCATCTTTACTTACAGTGTCTCACTTTCTTTCTGACTAATTTGGGGGTGTGGCTACAGGTTAACCTATACACTCATCCACCCCCATGGCGCTGCTGTGAGTCTCACTCGCTCTTCTTCTGTTTCCTCTCATTTCTTTATGTGTACCTTAGTCTGTTAAGATATGTGGCTTGACTCAACATTAGCCGTTAGCTTGGAGAAACAGATGCCATTAATGTCACGAGAGCGTGTCCTCGTGAGGAAGGAATGGTTAGAATCCCTCAGGAAAGAGTCAGAGATTGTTTAGTTCACTGAGTGAAATGTAGTTTATTTGCAGTGAATGAATCACAAGGAAAATTTGCTCAGGTGTCAACAACAGTCCCTCCCTGCCCACACTGTATACACTGATGTGTTGTTGAGGTTCACATCACGAGCGAGACACAGACTCCTGACGCTCACACTGAGCTCAACTGAACCGAGAAAGGAACAAATCAGTTAATAAAGTGATCCAGTTCATTCATTCACTCAAAAGATTTGTTAATTTGAACGAATCATTCATTTGAATGAATCGTTCGTGAACGACACAACACTAATGTCATTCACAAATTCAACAGCCCAATCAGAGAACAGAAGGGTTGGGCTGTTAGGGGTGGAGCTTTACTGAACCATAAGACCTGGAATAGCATTACTTTGTGATTTAGTGGAACAAAAACAAGGCAGCACGGTGGCGCAACTGTTAGAGCTGCTGCCACTCAGCGAGAAGGTCGCTGGCTCAAATCCCGGTCTGGGGACCTTACTGGGTAGAGTTTGCATGTTCTCTCCGTGCATGCGTGGGTTTTCTCCAGGTACTCTGGTTTCCTCCCACAGACCAAAAACATGCATGTTAGGTTGATTGGTAACTCTAAAATTGTCTCTAGGTGTGAGTGAGTGAATGGTTGTTTATCTCGTTTGTCTCTATGTGTCCCTGTGATGGACTTGCAACCTGTCCAGGGTGTACCCCTCGCACAGTGATTGCTGGACATGGGCACCGGCGACCCCTTTGACCCAAAATGGAAGAAATGGGCAAAAGATAATGGAGGGATGGATGGATGGATGGAACAAAAACAAACTCATTGTCCAGATTGTATTTCTGAAAATCACGTTCAGTTACTTTGGACAATTTTCCAAAGGGGCGGCTGTGGCTGAGTGGTTAGAGAAGTCGTCCTCTAATGGAAGAGCTGTGGGTTCGATTCCACCAGCATTCACATGTGGAATTGTCCATGAACCCCTCATTGCCTCCGATGTGTGTCCCATTAGTGTATGAATGTGATAAAGCACTGATTATTCTTTGTATAGATCTAGTAGAGTGCTGTATGAATGGATAAATGAGGACACAGATTGTGTTGTAAAGTAAGTAAGTAAAGTAGTGTAGTGTAATAAAATAGAAAAGTGCTACATAAGTGCTGTTCATTTACTATTCTCAGTCTCAGTTCTGATTATGACCAGAGTTTGTGCCCACAAAGGAGGTTCAACAAGGTGTGGGATCATGGAATATGCTTAGTTTTAATAGAGCTTTTCCAGTTTGGCTTCATATTTGTTTAATAAATAAAAACATGCTGGAATATGGTGAGTTTTTTTTAAAATTCAGTTGAGTTTAGTTTTGAATAATTTTAAAACCAAATCATTGTTTTTTGTTCCGATATATAAAACCTTCAATTTGAAAGTAGTTCTAAGTTCTTTTGTTTTTCACTGTATACAAAGTACATATATATATATACACGTTTGAAAATAATGTAAATTTAGGCACATGAAAATGCTACCACCATCCAGTGTGATTCCTAAGAAACCTGCTCCTTATGAGTTGTAATCATAAAGATATTAGATAAGGTGCTTGTTGGAAAAACAAGCGCATCATAGTGCCTTATTATTTCAACTAAAAAGATAAGATAAGTGAAATCCTCACCTTATTTTTGTTTGCCTTTACTGTAGACATAACAGGTAAATATGTCCTGTAAAACACAAAAAATATATGTTTACCCAACAACTTAAAACCACCATAAAAGCTCTAATTACATTTTTATTATAATCAACAATGAAAAATAAAAGCCCAACATCTTAATATAGATTTATTGTGGCACATTTAAAATATTAAAGTGAAGCTTTGTCATTTTTTTCTTCATTCCATTTTCCACCTTTCATCACGAGAGCATCTGGTGTGAACTGTTAGCGAAGACACTAAATATTTCAACAGAGGTGTGTGCAGCATCTGTGAGGAGCCCATATTTAGTTAGCGTGAAAAATGTCTTCAGTTTTATCTTCCGTTTGCAATGTGAATTCAATAGAAGCCGCATGATGTGTTTCTACTGTCTAGCATCTTGATGATAACATATTAGGGTATGTATTATTCAAATGGATGAATAGAAATTTAAACATGCAATAGTCCATTCTGTGTTTTTTTTTACACCTCTCTGTTTGTCTCGAGGCCCAGTTTTATTGAAAACAAGAAGAATTTTGACTAAAATACAACATTCAGTTTGGATATTATGGCTTTTGGGCTTAAGCTGACATTACTGACAGTAAAGTTCATTGTAATGAAGCAGAAGGATCATTTTGGCTCGAGGCCAGCTGCATAATTCTTGGCACCATTTGCTTGGAGACTTTATAGCATGTGAGAGTAATAGACTTACTGGCAGTGGCTCAGTTTTGTCTTCATGTCCAGTAATCAAGCTAACGTTTAAGAGAAACTAAAGTTGAGGTTTCCTGTTTCAAAGTTTTCAAAATGATTATACTTTTAGCAATGGGAGGAATAAAGAAAATGATGAGTGGTTGTGATCAGATAAGTCTGGTGTTAGAATAGTGTCAATGAGGACAACACATGGTGCACTCAGTGCCAAACAGGGCTGGTCGACATCTCTTCGCACAAAGTCGGTTCCATCTGATACAAACATTGAGTTGGTTTTTCATATTTTTCCTGGTTTGGATGTAATGTCTGCCATTTCTACATGGATCACAATAAAGGTCATTCAGTCCATCAAATCATGTAAAACTCAGTCTCTGAAATCTTTCAACAAAACAAACCAACATGCAAAAGCAGAGATATGGTAGGGTGGAGATAAGATAAGATAAGATAGAAGATATAAGATAGAACTTTACTGATCCCGCAGGAAATTGTTGTGCCAGAGTTTCAGTACAAAGGAACATACACAAGAATCACAAGCTACAAAAAATAACAGAGAATATAACAGAGAATATAAAAATGCCAACAATTAAGTTCTAAGTTCTTGATGAACCCAGGATAGGAACTCAGGAGTACTTTAATTGAATTTAATTGCCATTAACAAAATCCACAAGTTGTCAAGGTAGTGGAGTACTTACTAAAAGTAGAAATCAAACATGGGAAATCACAAGGGCAACCAAAACAGACTGTGAACAGAATAAAGTGCCACTGGGGAAGAACATGTGGTGGTAAACATACGGACAAACTAATGAGTAAAACAACAAACACCTGTGAAGGGACAACCAGGATCAGGTGAGAGTGGACAGGGCAGAAGCAGAATAATCTCAAGGGAAAACACTGGGGAGAGCTAATAAACATAAGAGGCTAAAAATGCACAAACCACGGATTACTGAAAAAAAAAAACTGAATCCTCACAGAACCCCTCCCCACGGGTCATCACCTGACAACCCAAAAATCAAAAAACACAAACTCTGGAGG